CTTAGCTTTTGTATTTCTCTCTCCTTTGTCTTGGAGCCATTCCAGAAAATAGCTCTATAGTCAAAAGGAATATTTATATCTGGCATCTTACATTATTTATCCAGGAAAAACAACTGCAGGCAGATACTGCAGTGCCTTTCACCAGTATGAGTGATCTTGATGAACAAGCAGTGCCTTAAAGATCGAATGGGTGCAAAGAAACCCAGAAAACCAGGTTCAAATTCAAGACCAGTCTTTGCTTTTCTCTCTTCCATGGCAAGCCCCTATTGAGAAATTAATTCTTCTGAAGCATCACTTTGTATTTACATTTAAATCACTTATAATTTACACCATTCTTTCCCCAAACTTTCAACAATTTCCTGCTGCCTATCCCTATCAGTCGAACTCCATAGTCTGGCTCCTGGCTCTAATCTCTAAGGCTCTTTTTTTTTTTTTTTTTTGTAAACTTTTGGTGCCAACTAGGCAACTCTACTTGTTATTCCTCATACAGGCCACACACAGTGCTGCTTCAACACCTCTGCTTTTGCTGAATTTCTCTCCCCTCCCACTCTCCACTGAGCCTCCAGACCCAGGGAAAAACCACCCATTCTGGGGGTCTCTGCTGTTATTATGTCACTTGTCTTCTGTGATCACTGCCTACTCTGGACAATTCAAGAACAGAACCCTCTGGAGCCCTTTTTAATAGCACACATTTCCAAATGGGAATTACCTGGGAGGTGTGGGGAGATGTTGACCAAAATATACAAAATTCCACTTAGGAGAAATAACTGCAAGAACTGTATTATATAATACAACATGGTGACTATAATTAATAGCAATGCATCCTATTCTAGAAAATTGCTAAAAGAGTAGATTTTAAGTATTTTCACCCCCCCCCCATGAAATGATAAATACGTGAAGGAATGCCTATGTTAATTAGTTCCATTTGGCCATTCCACAATGCATACATCTTTGAAAAAATACCTGTTCACGAGAAATAGATACAATTTTTTATTTTCAACTAAAATAAATAAAGCAAACAAACATCTTTAAAAATAAAATAAACTCTAACCTATTAACCATACATTTTAAAAAAATACACAGTCCTAGAATCTCATGCCTGAAGCATCTAATTCTATAGCCCTGACTACTGTTTCCTCAATTTTAATGTGCTTATGAATCACTCAGGAAAGTCACTAAATATGCAGATTGTGATTCAATAGGTCCAGGAGGGGGTAGTGATCTTACACTTCTCACAAGTTTCCAGGAAATGCCAGTGCTGCTGGGTCTGAGACCACACTGGGTAGAAGGGATGACATAGGACAAGGGAAGATGTATTGTTGTTTATTTTCCAAACAATTTTCATGCAACCTGCCTAGGGATGGTTAATTGATACACATTTAAAAACTACCACTCACTACGTGCTGTTAGCATGTATTCTTCCATTTTTATTGCAGTTATTTATCCATGTATAGGTTTGTCTTATATCTTCCACTATCCTGCAAATTGGCAAAGTGAGCAAGGATATTAATACCATCTTGCACTCCTACATCTAGCAGAATGTCCTATAGAGTCTGCAGTCAATTAATATGTAGCGATGAAAGAAATGCTGATATAATACTGAGCTATCGTGGAGAAAGTGATTTTAAAGTTGCTGCTGCAATAAATGCCGAGTGAAAAGGAGGAATGATTTTAATTTTTGGCTTTTATTTGAATTTTAACATATGCAGTTTCCATTAAGTATGACAGGATACATATTAAAATGCACTGTTCAGCCACTCTGGTGACACTTCTCCGACGTGTCTCTGCTGTATTTATTATTCATCTGGCCTTGGATTTGCGTTAATTACAAGGTGTCTTATTTCCTTCTTCCCACACCTGATTTCAGGATGCTGAGGTCAAATGTTCTGCTTTTCAAGTTCCCAGCATTACACTGTACCCTGTTTTGAACACCTGAAATGCATAAAATTGAAGGTTAACGTGGACTTCATGTTTTCCTTTGGGGCAGGGAAATATAAAATCTGAGCTCCAGGAATGGTATATTTCCTGTTTTTATTGGTCATAAAGCTTTCATAGTGGGAGCAGGTGGCACAGAGACAGAATCGACTAACCCTTAGCAAGTCTCTTTCCTAGAAGAGAGTGAGCCTCCCCTTCCATGCTGAAACCATCTTAAAACACCTGCACAGAAAACCCACTACAGTACTCAAAGCCATTTTAAGTGTGCAATTCATTGATTTTTAGTAAATGTACCTAGTCATGCATCTGCCACTATAACCCAAATTTACAACATTTCAGTCACCGCAATGAGACCCCTCATGCTCCTTTACAATTAATCCCTCTTTCCACCACAACACCAGGTAAGCTCTCACACATTTTATGTCTCTATAGATTTTGAATTTTCAGGACATGTCATATAAAGTGGAATCCTACTATTACATGATCTTTTGTACCTGGTTTATTTCACTTAGCATGAGGCATTCGAGGTTCACCCATGTTGCAGCCCGTATCAGAGCTTTATTTTATTATTGCTGAGTAGTATTTCATTGTATGGAAACACCACATTTTATTTATTCCTTCACTAGTTAATGAATATTTGAGCTGTTTCCACTTTTATAATAGCTGGTTTTTAATAGCTGTTTCCAGCTATTATAAATAATGCTGCTATGAACATACATGTCCATGTTTTTGTGTGGATATATACATTTTCATTTCTCTTGGGTAGACACCTAGAAATGGAATATCTAGGTACATTTGTTAACTTATTAAGAAACTGCCAAAGTGTATTCCAAAATGGCTTACCATTTTACCTTTCCACCAGCAATACAATATATGAGAGTTCCCATTTCTCTACGTTCTCAAAAATTATTATTGTCTTTTTTGTTGTTGTTGTTATCATTATTGTTGTGGATCTAAGATGGCATCTCTCTGTGGTTTAAACTTGTATTTCCCTAATGACTCATGATATTGAGCATATACTTACTGACAGTTCCTATATCATTGGTGAAAAGTTTCAATGGAATTAGTTTGTTTTTAATGCGAAAGGGTCATAATGTTTCTTATTCTAAACTGATCTTGCTTATACATGCGATGACAATGTAAAACTTGTAAAGATCAACCACCCTGCAAACAGAAAAGGACTGAATAATATTAATAGTAGATATAACAATAAATAAATTTTAGGAAATTCATGCTTCATTTTGTACTGTGCAATAAAAAATGTCGTACTAACCTGAAAGTTTTCCATTAATTTACTCGAATTTCAATTGGCATAGTTCTTTTTTTTTTTTTTTTTCTTTTTCTTTACTCTCCTTGCCACCCCCTACCCGCAAACCCTGTAAACCTAAACTCCATGGTAGGCTATTTTGGCATTAGGAACAGATGGTGAAGGTTTCCATAAAGGAGAAAGGAAAACAGACCTGTCTGAAGTGAGGTAAGTAAACACAGAGCACATGAATGGTGAGAACTGAAATGGAGTGTTAAGTACAAATTAAAAATAGAAAGCATGACTACTCAACTTGTTTTGGAAAAAGATATCTTTTTAGAATATGGCTAATAAAAAGTGTACATAAACCAAATATTATTTTTATTTATCTTTGGCACATGGCCATACAAAATAATTGGAGACAATAGGTAAAACATTCACCAACAGTAAAACAGAGTAGAAGAGATTATCTATGTAATTTAGTAATAATGCAAAATTTTATAAGGGAATGTTTTTTGTCTTGTTTTGTCTTTATGAAAATAAAAAAATGACTGTTTACATGAATCAAACAAGAAGCAATTATTTTCTTTTCCAATTCTCTTTTTATGTATGGTTGCAAATATTAAAACGAAGCCAGATGATGGCATTTTTTTTTGTTTCTTCTATTAATAAAAAGAGAACATATGGAATAATCACCATCATTACCTACAATATAGGTTATTGGTTTGAATTGAGCCAAAAACTCTTAGTGTGTTTGTTGCTGTTGTTATTACTGTAACTTTTCTTCTTTGTTTCTAGTTTACTTTTCTGATTTAACATTCATAGTTTGAAAAAAAGTACTTAAGATTTATTTTTTTTCATCTTTGGGTTCATGCGTTGTTTTTGTGCAGAACTTCGGTTGCTTTTCTAATCACTCATTTGGATAATCACAGGCTTTATGGAGTAACTCTATATACAAGTCATGTGTGAACAGCATTAAATGATGGTTATTATTAATAATACATTACCTTTGTGAGCTTTCCAATGTACAATACTTTCATATACATTACCTCACATAATAATATATACCTTGCAGTATAATTATGGGAGTTATTATACCCATTTAGAGATTAGAAAATTGAGACAGAATTTAACTAGCTAAAGAAATACAAGTAAGTGAGCAAGCCAAGGCTTAAACCCCACTTTATCTGATCTCAAATGCTACACACTTTTGAGATGTATCTTTCAGTTCACAGCTAGAAGAGTTCTTAAGAAGAGGCTTTAGAATAATAAATCAGTATCAATTAGTCATTTTGATAATTTACATTTACATAAAACAAATAATTACACACCTAAGAGGTACAAATGGAGAAATATCTCTAACTATATTTATCTTCATTAAAATTTCATACCTGTGAATATTTTAAAACCAAAAATCTAAGAGAGAAAGACAGAGTAAGATAATATTTCCATATTCCGTGACTCGACATGCCTTACTCCAATTCTTTTGTTTATATCAGTATATTAGTTACTTCTGGGAGTATGGAAATGGAAAGTGGCTATGGACATATAGGAAACAGGGATAAATAGCTTAACTGTGAACCTCAGATATGGCATAAAGGCCTTGAAATTCCACAGTTTGGCTTATTTATTTTTGTCTTATTAGAGGCAGATTTCTCAATTCCCTTCTTGGCCACACCACTTTCACCTGTAAGTAAGAACCACATGAAGTGGGAGGCCATAAAACAAGCTAAATTTCTTGGACAGATGTCATCTTCTCCACAGCCTGGAGGGACCAGTTCCAGATAATTACTTTAGATTTTTTTTTTCCCCCTGACAGCCAACAAGGAAAGTGAGGATCCCATGGCAAAGACTGGAAACAACTTGAAAACAGTCCAGCTGGCTTTATGATATGAATCTTGAGATCAACCTTTCACACAGGATGGGACATAAGGTGAAGTCTACCCAGTCAGTTTCAGGTAAGATGATGAAGAATTCACTTCACCCCTTGAGCCATGAAGATGCTGGCAGTGTGGGAGAGGCCGATGAGCACAGACTTTCTGCTCGAGCAGCCTTAACCTGGAACCCCACTTTGTCCACTCATTAACTGTGTGACTAGTTACTCAACCTGAGCCTATCCGCAGAAGGCAGTTGTAAAGATTGTGTGGGAATATTCTTTGTGCAGCGACTGTCACATTATTATTAAAGGTGGGTAAATAGAAGCAAAAACAAACACCATATGATCTTCTCAATAGACACAGAGAAAGCATTTGACAAAATTCAGCACCTTTTTATGGTAAGAACTCTTAACAAAATAGGCATAGATGGAACATACCTCAATATTATAAAAGCCATATAGGACAAACCCACAGCCAACATCATACTGAACAGGGAAAAATTGAAAGCATTCCTGCTTAGAACTGGAACCTGACAAGGTTGCCCATTGTCGCCACTTCTGTTCAACATAGTACTGGAAGTCCTAGCCACAGTAATCAGGCAAGAGAAGAAAATCAAGGGTGTCCAAATGGGAAAAGGAGAAGTCAAATTACTGTCCTTTGCTGATGATATGATCTTATATCTAGAAAACTCGAAAGATTCTTCCAGGAGACTCCTGGAATTGATAAATCAATTCACCAAAGTCTCAGGTTACGCAATGTACACAAATCAGTAGCATTCCTATACACCAACAATAGTCGAGCTGAGAATCAGACTCCTTTCCTTCTCTATATAAAAACCAGGTATGAAATACAACCTCAAGTATGGTATAGTGGAAAGGGATCAAGAAAAGACAAAAGGAAAGGAGATAGAAGAGGTAGTGCTATGAGATGGAAGTTGGTGCTTTAGAACACATAAAGATATATGACATACATGAACAAAATATAAACATTTGGCGTAAAATCAGAGGTCCTATCAAAGCCAAGCACATGATCTGGTCCCTGCTAGCTTTATTACCTCATTTTCTAACATTCACCCTCCCTATGTAAGCATCTTATCTTCCCTTGAAAGAAGATATTCCTTAGGACAGCAAATCCAAAGAGTTCACTATCTGGAAAATTCTACTATCACTTATCCACATGACCTATCTCTTACAAAATCTACATCTGACCTTAGATTATATACCATCTCCTCAGAACAACTTCTTTGACCACCTATTTAAAATAGTAATTCCTGCCTTTACAGGCAATGTCTTACACTTCTCTTTGTTTCATGTTTTCCAATGCACGTATTAATATAATAACCTGATATTATATATTTACATTATAATATTTTTACATTATACATTTACTAGTTCATTGTTTATTATCTATCTCCACCCCCATTCTCTTCCCATTACCTTAATATGCCAGGACTGAAAAAGAATACTGTCTTATTTATTTCTGTATCTGCATACCCTAGAGCAATGCCTTGCACATAGTAGACACTCAATAAATATTTGTTGAGTGAATGAACAATATTCACTTCTTCATTTTAGACTCAAAACTAGGAAAGGTGTGCATTTCAACAAGATTAAATCATACATGGTAATGACATATAAGTGAATTCCATACATGTAATGTATATTGCAAATCTTACTTGAAAGCAATTTCATGAAGTAAGGTAAATATGTATAATGGAATGCAGTGCCTTATAATTGGCCAAGGAATCCTGGCACAAAACTAACATTGTGTTTCTATGTTGAAGGCCTTCCTGTGTGGTCACCAGCTTCTATGTTATCAGTTCATAGAAGTCTACACCTTTTTCCTTTGAGTCACTTCCCATGAGCTGCACATTTGATTACGGTAATTAAATCAAATGTCTTCCTATGTGAAATAAGGTGCGAAAGAACAATAAAAAAAGTAAAATGGTGAGAACATTTCTTTGAGCAAAAGCAATTTCCCTTTTGAAAGAGTTCATCTATTATAATCTCTGTGGAAGCATCTATTTTCAGTTTATTACTTCTCCATGATGAAGAACAAACTCATCTCAGGGAACTAAAATACCAAGATAAGTCACAATGACCACAATTTTTAGTCCTTGCCAATCAAAATTCATAAGGTATAATTTCATTAAAATAAACTCAGAACAGTAACTTCCAGGGGGATAGTAACTTTCTTTTGGAAGAAGACTGCTCCTCCTTTATTGTGTTATATTGACAGTACATGAAAAAATAAAAACTTCCCAAGATTCCTACTCTATTTCTTTGTGGAACTCATAAAATCCTGAGCACTCTTCACCCAGTATCTACAAAAACTTATGTAATTTCCAAATGTTCTTTTATACTCAGAATTCCATCATTTAACACATATTTTGAACTTTTATTATGTACATTATGCTGTGTGTTATTAAATTTTAATTACAGTGTTATTATGAAATGTTTTGAGAACCTCTGCATACAAGTCACTGTATCAGGTACAAATGTAGATACAAAGATGACCAAGGTATGGTTTCTTATTTCAAAGGGTATCCAACATAAGTGACATGGGCTATCATAATACGTATCATTTAGATGGGGAGAAAACATAGTAATACTACCAGGAAGTGGGTGATAAAAGTAAATTAATGTCCCAGACAAAACGGGCTAGAAAAATAGGGAGAAGAGAAGATGTCACTTTGAGGCTGTGGTGGGTTAGTGGTTGATTTTGGTCACCATCCCGATTATGGGTTGAGGAAGACATTCTTTTTACTCTTTGATCCCACTTGGCTAACATAAACCATAAACTGTCTTAGCTACTATCTCTAGAAAGCTTTCTCATCTGACCACATCTTGCTTTGGGCACACAAAGGATGCTATTTAGCAGCAGACACCTGTGATGCATTCGTTTTATAAGGTTTTGTATGGGAAGACTTACTTGTTCTCTACCTTCGTGGTCCCTCAATAAGGAAAGTGTCTATAAATAGGATGCATTGCTGGACTCTGAAGAGAATCAATCTTTGTGCTTAGTTAGCATTGACTTTTTGCTCTGATCAAAGTGATTAAACTTAAAAGAACCTCAAATGGCAGTAATTTGCAAAAGCAGGTTTTCATCCCCATTTCTTTGGGAGAAAAAAGGTAGAGGAGCATCAGTCACACTTGTTTCTTGGTGAGAAACAAAGAGTATAAAGTCTGAATTTTCAGCGTCTAAACACTCTTTTAATATGGGGGAAAAAATCCTATGATAAACATGACAAGCATACCATTTATCAGCCAAACCCGGATGCATTTTAGAATAAAGGGAGCACTAATTAGAACATCTGAAAAAATAGGCTAAAATCCTGGCTATTCTATCAAACCAGGACCTATGGTCATTCAAATCATGGGCAGAGGTGGAGTTCTACATTTGCTGTATAGCAAAAGAAGCATCAAAAATATCCTGCCATTTCCTGTTGGAATCTAGACTGTGGGCATATTAACTAGCTCAGCCAGTCAGTTGCTGTGGCCTGAGTTTGACCCTTAAGGGGGAACAAAAGGAAGTGCAGGTATAGATTTAGAAATATTTCACTACAATATGGAGATTCCAGTGGCATAGTAGTGAATGTTCAGGGACAGGGGATACCGGCAGAGCAGCAGCCGGTGTCCAGGGGTGAAGGCATCAGTGACCGCAATAACAAAGGTCAGTTAGTGAACAGTGATACCCTGAAGTCCATCAGGGACCACTTGGCTGTACCTTTCTTTCCCTTGATTTCTATTTGAGCCTGATTCTCCAGCTTGAATCTGAAAGCTATTATAGATCCGATGAGCTATGTCACCTTTCTGCTTGCATTAACCAAAGCAGGTTTGTTGGCTTCTATTCCAACCAAGAACTCTGAATAGAACTAGTAGAATATTAGATTCCTTAGATGGTGATGAAGACGATGATTTTCTCTTGACCATTTTAACTTGAGTGCCTCACTTTTTAACTGGGGATTGCCCTGGCAATATAATAACATTTTTTTAAAAAAAATATATCAATGACATTTTTTTATTTGTAAATACTTTTCTAAAAAGTAGCGAAGAATTTTATAACCGGAATATTTTCCCTTTCTAGTCTAACGCACACACAAAAATCAATATGGGCATGCATCTAAGTTCTATGAAAGAAAAGCCTGAGATGTTTTAAGAAGTCACACATTGCTCAGTTGAAAGAAAATATTCAAGGGTTTTGAGGCCCTTGTCAAATTATTTACCTTCATTTTTAGATGTAGCAGCTGAAGTATTGAAATCAACAAATACTCATTTGGAAGGTTATAGATGGTGAATATTAATTACTGCACATATCAACTTGTAATGGAGCTTTGTAATTACAGTTAATGGATTTCATAATTGCTAGGGACCTAGGGAAGAAGATAAATGTAAAGGATGCTAGAAAGTCAAGGAAGATAAATATTTGTTGGGATGGAGATGTATCAAACACTTATTAAAGTTTTCTAATTTGGGAGGAAACAAAATGAGAGCACGTGGCCCCTGTTATGAATTGCAGGTAGCATAACGATAAAGAAAAAGCCACAATTTTATACCAGAGGACAATTGCCAGAAGGTGTCAAGCGAACTAATAAGAATCACAACTTAGTTCTATTTATTTGTTTTATCAGTCAATGAATTATTGGGAATAATCTGAAACTGCTGCAAAAAGAACAAGGGAAGCTTGAGCAGTATGTGTGGCCTTTTTATTAAGGAGAAGAGAAAGGGAATAGCACTACAGAGTCCTGGACTTGGATTTGAACCACCTTAGCAAGCATTCTGCCTATTCAGATGATAACTTGGGACCCAATTCACTCTCCTGTGAATGGCTACTAACCATGGGAGACCCAGCAGCTGCCAAGCCATGATTCAAGGTTAATTACTGAGCATTCTTTCCATCACATATCATGTACAGCTCAAGGGGAAAGGCCTGAACTATATGACAATATTGCTGTGGGACCAACAGTGGGAAACTAGGATAAATGAGCATTTGGTACCAGTTGTTCCTTCCCAATCCACTGATGCTACATAAACAGAACTTTTTTTTAAGAGACTGATGTTAAGAGTGCAGAATTTGATTGG